AGAATTACAAAATCATCTTCACAGAATTTCTAAAACTTTCTTTTTTTTACTTTCATGTTTGCTTTTCCATCCTGGACTCTGCATTGAAATTTTAAGCAAACAACAGCAACCAAAAACAAAAGGTTATGCTAACCTCAAAAAAATTTAGGACAATCAATGCAAAGTAATTAAGGGTCCAAATGAGATCGAATTTAATAAAGATGAAGTAGAACTTTGCAGCACTTCCAAAGCTTGATTTGTCAAGAATTTGCTCAGGTAGACCAACACCATCCTCAGCCTGTAAAATCATGCCAACCAAATAAGCACTCTTTCTTTTTCTTTATTTTTATAAAAGGATAGTTAAAAGAATTTAGTTACCAGTTTTAATGTTAAGATTATGCATTTCAGATACTCTGCTAAGCATTAATCAGAGGGAGAATGGGAAGAGAAATTGAAATAACGCAGAGTGCGATGATAAAAGTGCACACATAAAAGCACAAACTAATAAAATCACAAAATATTATCACCAAAAAAAAATCTCAATAATTTTGAAAATACAATACTAAAATGCTAATTTGCAGAAAGTCATACCTCTTCTACTGTTGTATTTGATCACAAACTGAAAATCTTACAATCTCAAATTACGTCTGAAACTATAACTATATGCTAGAAATTGCAAGGGAACTATCGTCAAATCTACATCCGCTATATCCACAGCATATACTAAAACATAATCAAAAATAGAAAATGACGGTCAAAATGAAGTTAAATTCAAAGATTAAATAGATGTAACATCATTTTGAACTAAAATCATCGGCAAAAAAAGAAAACACTTCTAAAAACGAAATTATAACGTCAAAAAGTAAACACATTCTTGAAACAGCATTTAACAACGTTAATAGTTTAAAATCACGAGAAGAAATAAAAGATAAAGAAGGTGACCAGATCGACGAGGGCAGCTGCTTTCTGGTAAGAAGAGCCGTAAGTAATAGCTTCAGAGCGACGATATAACGGATCTCTCCTTCCACCGCCGTTGCTGCTTTCTCCGAATAGCAGAGGCTTGTCCATTTTTCAGTCTTTCACTCCGGCTCCACTCACTGACACGCACACTCAGACAAGCATCAATGATCAAACTAGTTTGTTTTTTGGTTTTTTGCTCTTTAAGAGAAGT